AGAACAAAACTTCAAAGTTTGTTTAATTTATTCTTAAGTTATAATAAGCTTCTGAGTTAGTTTAGCACTCAGGGGCTCTTAGTTATCACAAAGTGCTGAGCAACATTTCAGAGCAAAAAGGGCCAAAAAATGAGCCATTACAAACACGCTATTTACTATTTACTTTGTACAGTTATATACAGACTGTAACTGCGATGATTTCAATATAGCTTAGGCATAGTATAGTACAATCTCTTTGTTTAGAGTACTTTCCTTCTCTTCCACCATAAATACAGTAGCAGTGGGACATTGTCTGTAATAAACTTATCACAATGATTCAGAACAGCTGATCCCTCAGCTTTGCTGGCGAAAAATCAGTCTAAATCACTTTCCGAAAAATCTAAATTTTCTTTATCCTTATCAGAATTAAAAACATCTGACTGAAACAATTTTAGAGCTTCAGCCGCAAAAAGACACATTCTGCGACCTGTACTTGTGGTGAGAACATTGGTATTCATGGCACTCAAAAACAAACTTAGAAAATGCACTGTTGAAAAAAATGTTGCTGTAAATCCAATCAGATTATGCATGTGTGGTTTATGATAGGAAATGTATCTGAAAGGATTTTGGCAGAGTGACTGTCCCTGAATAGTTTAATCGTACTTCCGAACATTAGAATTAAGTACAGAGCCGTGTGCGAAGCAAAATGTACGGAATACACGATCAACGATGACAGCCTTGTTTGGGCAAAACGGAACTTCTCAATCAACGCTCACACCTTTGCTTGGTTAATCAATGTGAAATCTGACTCCAAATCTTTGTCTCTTCACACGATACTTTATATTCATGGCAGAATGTCAAAATATCCGTGAATTTTTTATTTAACTAACATTTTAAGTTTCTCAGATTGTAATGCAAGGACTAGAAGGAACATATTATATTTTATAAATTTAACATTGTAAGTACGTATGAATGTTACGCTGCGATTAAAAATGCTATGTAAATTAAATTATTACTATGATGTGTTGAATTATATGTCGTTTTTTTTGTTTGTGTGTGCTTTTTTTAAATATGAGTAGTAGTAATATACTAGTATTCTTATTCTTCTTTCTCCTGCATTTGCTCTTAATAATTAGAGTAGTTGGCACATTGATTGCTTTTACAGCTAGGTTGCAAATATCTGTGCTGTCTCTACACACATACATTTTCAGCAAACCTAAATTAGTCACCTTTTATGCCGTGTGTTTAGTGCAGTAGGTGACTATCTCCCCCGTTCCATATACATATATATATATATATATATACTATACACACACACATACACCACACAAGGAATGGAACTCAATAACCACCACAGCCAGTCTTCGTGATGGTTTAGCCCTTAAAGTTAATTGTTTTAGTGACTTTCTCATGGAGTTATTACAGATGTGTGGGAATTCAAAGGATCTATTTTACTGTTTATCCATACACTGTTTTCTGACATTCTGAGTTTTTATAAATAGATTCCCTACATAAATGTAGCAGTTAATTGCACTGCAATAAACACATTTATTCAAAGGCCCCAGATAACTCATATTAATGAGGTTTTAACTGCAAGAAGTTTGACGCTGCCAGAAGCTTGTGTCAGCTAATAAGTTCATTACACAAATATTTGCAGTAGTTATAATCAGGTGTAGACAAATAAAGGGTGCTTGGTCACCATAACCCCGAAAAAACTTTTTTTTTTCACCTGCTGCAATAACTTTATTAGGTTAGTTGCGTATCCTTTGCAGAACCAACCCCAATAGCCCCTGGCTGTTGTGTGGTTTTTCTAGGCAAATTTACGTCCAGTAATTTGCCATTGCTTTCTGGACAGTCAGCTTTCTTGATGCCACTGTTGAAACCAATGCATGGCCCGCAGCTGGGTTCGAACCCGGCATTACAAAGTGTTCACATCGACTTAGCCACAGAGTGACAATAACTTTATAAGCTATCTTAACTTTCATGTTCATGTATATATCTTCTCCCCCCACACACACTACAAAAAAATGTTGGCTTTGAGGGAAAGATGAGTTGACTCCTAAATTGTTTTTATTAGCCCAGTCACCTCCTGGTTAGAGCATTAGCTGCATGCACAGATTAAACATCTGGTATTTGAGATGGATGTGTTAAATGTTTGTGTAAGTTGATCATTGGCATTTTGTTGGGTTTCCCTCTGCTGCTTTAGGATTTTCCAGTTGATGATATCATAGAGAATGAAGGGACAGACTCTATACATGGTAAAAAATTGTTGTCAGTTGAAAGTCTTCCAGCACAGGGGGAGACAGGCCTCACTTCCTTGAAACATGATACCCTCAGTAATGCCAGCATATCTTTCAGTCATTTATGTAAGTGGCTTGTGGTGTACATCTGTCTGTGCATCAAGTATGTTTCATAAATTACTTATTCTTCTTATAACCCATGGTGTTTGAAGTTAACAACAGTGAACAGACAAAAAATGTAATGGTACAGACAGGTACTAAGATCTTCCAGCCTCTCTAAAATTATACTGCATTGTAATGGGGGATATTTTCGACCCAGTTTAGGATGGTTGGGGGGAAGGCCCAAAGCTGACCGAAAACACCGAGAAAGTCCAGATACTTGGATTAAACGAGAATCTGGAGATAGGTGACTAACCACTAGTTATCACGGGGACCACGGTGATGCGACCCAAGGTCGCCACGGGAAAAGTAAAGGACCACCACGTGTTGTCACGTGAAAGGAACCCGTGGTATAAGTCAGACTTGACTCTGGTCAAGTTTAGTTTGTGTCGACCTGTTGGAGCGAGAGGACGAGCGTCTGAATGTGCGAATGTCTACGTGAGTGCCTGAGGAGAAAGGAGACCTGCCGACGAAATGTTAAGCTGAGATCAACCATGCCAGCGTGTGAGATGTCCAAACGTCAGTGTTGAATCCATGGGACCCATCGTTGCTTGAATGCCTGCAGAAGACTGTTCGTTAAAAGGCTGCGTGAGTTGTGTACGAAAGCGGTTCAATTAGACATCGACTGGACGATTCTGTTTGTCGTAAGTTGTAATACGTCAATAAAGTAATGTCTCGTAAGCTCACATCGGTGTCGGCTTGTGCCAGGTGTGCAACGTGAAGCGTGTGATAATATCATCCAGCACACACGCATGAACACCGCCTAGACAACGAGTAGAAAGACAAAACCCATTCATTACATGCATGGCTTATTTAGAGGGGAAGAAGTAGACCAAAAAGACCTGGGTTGAGAATTTGGCTGACTGGACAGGTCAGACGCATACAAAGGTAGAGAGAATTAATAAGACAGTCAACAGCAACTGGTAGCCCAATGACAGGCAGTGTTATGGGACTATGATGATGAAGTATTGAGTTGGTCTTCAAGTATGACCTTGGCCCATGTCACACATAAGTGGAAGAGAACTGTTAAAGATCCATTTTCATCTATTTGATCCATTGAGTATTGGAGCTGACTTTTTATTTTTCACATTAGGCCATTGATACACCAGGCACATAGTGTGAGGCCTGTAATTTTATTGATCAATCTGCACTTGATGGGTTATGTGGCACCTGGCACTTTTACTTCCCTTTATATTTCCCTGTAGCCATTTTAGACTGGGTTGACTAGGGAGCCAAGGGCCGATACAAAATATCTGCAGCAATGGAAATCTGAACACTTTTGACTTTGCAGGCAAATGTCTATCCACTGTACTACTCTGGAGAGGCAAGGAACCAAAAATATTTGTACAAATTAAGCCAGATCTGTAAAACATATATGCACACAACACTCAGGTTCCGGAACATGACTAAAGTCCAGAGGTAGATGAACAACCATTACTTTTCACTGAAGTTTACAGCTGGGGAACGTGAAGAAAAAAGCAGAAAGTAAGAAAGCTTCGTCTCAAAATAATGTGTACATCGTCTATGATTTTGGCATTGACAGTTGTATCTTTGCTGGTGCAGTGACTTTGTACACTGTGTTGAGGTTTGCCTTTCTCTACAGAGACTGAAACCCTTAGTGGAGATATCCGCATGCATTAAAAGTGATCTTTCATGAAAAGATTCAGTGTGTGTGTCTCATTTCGTCAGTCTCAAAAGTTGCCCACTTTTATGTGGGCGCATTGGTAGTGATTGGTTGCAATTACTTTTATTTTTGTTATCACATAAAATGTTAAATACATGTTTATACGTACAATAGTATGTTGTATACACACACATGAAGTTTTTCTGGACATCTCATGTGTAAATGTGAGAAAATGAGAAATATTTTTATGACTACATTGTTATACTTTTTAAGTGTAATGAATTTAACTTTCAGCGCCATTCTGATAACACAGGCACCAATTTCTGTTGCACTATAGCGCTGAACATGGATATAGCTGAAATATCAATAACAAAATATCCCACAAGGCGAGTGTACACATGTGATAGATGTGTATATATTAAATATTCTTCACTGGAAATTTATATTGTCAACTTTCTTTAGTCATGTTATGAAAATGAGAATACATCATGATAACAGGAAAACTGGAGGGAAAGAGACCAAGAGACTGGGTCTTGGACAGTTTGGAACCATGGAATGAAGAACATCTGTTTCAGAAATGATTGGCAGTAAACAAGATTACAGGTTTATTAAAACATTCAAACATAACTACGAGTGCTTAAAAAAATATATCCAGGTTATGAGGAGCATATTTATACCAACATTGAGCTACTGGTGCTACAGATCTCCTTAGAAAGCAACAACATCAAATACCATTGCAGGCACTATGTCTCAGAAGATCAAAATCAAGAGGACAGACACACACACAAAAATATGTTGACAACATCAAAGACACTTTATACCTACACAGCATGACAATAGCTAGTGCCAGCCAGCCAGCATGCACTGGATCGCAAATTATTCCTCTCCATGCCACCCAACAGCAGAAATGGTTTATAAATGATAAACACTTTATTTTGAATCATGTTTTGCAGTGATAAAGCACAAAATGTTCATAGCACTTATATTTTTTGTTCTAGCTGCCGGTGATCACTGTCTAAAGTCAAATAACCAAGCAGAAGACCTGCCCAGGTTTTGCAAGAGAAAGTTTCCTGGCCCTGCGGGCATTTTACCTCCTTATGTAAGTGTGCTAAAAGAAATTATCTGATTCAGAACATACCACTGTTGGTTTATTTTCTAGATATCAGCACTTTAATTTAACTTCGTAGATAATGCGTTCGTAGAGTTGAGGGGTGTTTAGATGTGATAGGATCAACTTTATTAGATTACCTGTTGTTCTGTACTACTTTGTCTCTTCCCATACAGCTGTAACTCAGAACTTTTGTTGAAAAAGCATGAAACCCTGAAGCGTCACGATCACGACCAAACAGCTTAACCCTGTTACCCCAGAAAGTTGATATTTTGGCATTCCCATCCATTACAAATCCCAGAGAAGCTGATATTTCGGCTTTATAGCTTTGGCCACTCATTGCTACGCCTGTATATTGGCTCTGGTACTGTTTGCATCTGCACTGTATTAAGAAGAGCCAGATATGATTACAGTCACTGAAAGTAGCATTTCTTTTGAAACAAAAAATAGATTTTTTAAAGCTATTATTAGTATTTAGATCATCATTCGATTTCAGCCTTTGGCAGTATATAGTGATGTATAAGTCACCGTATAAATTGTTTTAGGTGCAAGGGAGTGTAATTAATTATTTACACCATTCATTTTTCATTTTTTGTTGTTCCTCTTCATATTATCTAAACTGATTTTAAATTGTATGGAAATAAATGTTTAAAAATGTATTAACAACCTATCTAAAATTATTTTTTTATGTTATGTTTTAATTATGTATCATTTCTTGGAATTCGTGGGTTCTAGGCTCCCTCCCCTTCCCCACCAAGGTTTTACAGGTGAAAATGATAACCACTTGGCATTAAACCGGTCACTTGTGCTTCTTTGAGATCCCTCACCATTACAAATGTTAAATAGTTGAAGCTACTTAGCCACTGCCTAAACGGACGTCTAAAATATGAAGTTTAAAATTCTTTCTGTGTATAAGATGAATCTAATAAATTGTTATGCATTTCTTGGTGAATGTTTATATCAGTTCAGCTTGTTGCAGGATAGTATATTTACTGAATTGAAGACATTTTATGACTGATACATTTTTGTATTTATTACCTAATTGTTCTGAAGCTTTTTGTGTTGTTTAACCCGCCATATTTCTTCTTTTTTTATGTGTATGTGTCAATTTCAGTCACCATCTGTTGTGTTGGATATAAAATTGGCTGCCAGTCCTGATGTTGCACCTCAGCCTAAGAGTCCTAATATTGCCGACACGAAGGATGGGGTATGTTTTATAAAAATTGTTTGTTAGATTGTTGATGATTTTTTGTTGGAGTTGAAGAAATGACAATTGATGATAAAGTTCCATCCTTGTAAGCAAGCGACAGATTTATTCCAAAGATATATTTTAACTCTCCACATAGGATTATCTACCATCATTCTAGGGAATTGTAACTTGTAGATTCACATCATGCAGAGTTGCAGTTAATATAATAGTGCATGTAAAGTAGGCAGAGAGTTTTGTTACTCCTTACAACACAAACAGCCCCTGTGTTGTATGCTTTAAAAAGTGGATCCCTGTGCAAAAGATGGTTTAATCCTCTTCATGTTGCAGTGATGGTTTGATCATCTTCGCCAATAATCATAAAAAGTTCAAATTTTGAACTGATCTTTATAATACTGATATGATTTTATAAAACTGTTTCACTTTAATGATGAATATTTTTATTTCCTGAACTCTTCAAGGATGATTTTATGAGTGGCAGTGGTTGTTGAATTACAAATGGATTGCTACTGCATGTGTTTGTTGCAAGTTGTAAAACAAAATCGTTGGCTTGAGGCGGGATATGAGGCTAGTCCAGTATTTTTATAACCAGTTTTCATTAATTTGGTCACTGTTATTTTTAGACCACCTTTACTTCCCAGAATGTTTACTTGTGGCTAAGCTGACCTGGGAGATCAGTCAAATAATAAAAAAAGTTTGTGGTTCAATGGGAGATTCAAACAAATGACCGATGAGCATACTGACACTTCTAGCAGCCACTATGCTACCTCATCTCAAAAAGTTTTTCAGAATTGCTTCTTTTTTCTGTGCTCCCCATAAAATGACAGATGACACATTATGTTGCTTACATCTAGACTGATTTATCTATCTTTTGGACCAACACATCTAATCGCAGACAACCCCCGACTTGTCTGCTGTTACAACATGCCTGGTCTGTGGGAGGGAGTGGGAGTGGGTCTATTCTTTCCTCCCCAAAATGTGGTTCTGGAACACACACTGGGAAGGCTAAGTTGACCTCGGAGATTTAATGATTAAACCATCCTTACACAGAGATTTTATGTTTAAAGCATACAGTATAGGAAGTGTGTGTGTGTTTTTTTTTTCAAGAGTAAGAATTTTTTAAGTTGCTGTGGGGATTAAAACACATGACCAGTGGTCTAGTAACCACTGCACCACATCATCTCAGAAGTTTATTGTAAATACTGAGCTTAATAGAGATACATGACAGCCTAATTTTTGATTTTTTAAGGGGGAGAAGGTGAGGGGATTTACCAGCTACGCCTTAACAAATATGTCGTAAAAAGGCAACTAATTGAGGATTTGCTTAAATTGCATGTGTTGTGCCAAAAGGCACAGATATCACAGCCTAGCTGTAAAACACTGCACAGTTTGCAACTGCCCCTTTTCTGGTGAATGAAGAAGACCTAATTAATTAGCTAACTTACTAAGACAATGGTCAATGCTAAGAATTTTGTGGTGGCAGCCTTCTTTTCTAGCCAGTGTGACTAATATTGATTCAGTCTTATTAGAATAGCACCAAAGGTTTGTTTGGGAGGTAAAGACGTTTGATACTCCAATTTTTAAAATGTTTTTCTTCTTAGTGTTAACCGCTGTGAACTCCGGCAGAAAGTTCTAGTTGTTCACCCAATTCTGGACTTTGGTCGTATTCCAGAACTTGAGTTTTGCTTGCACATCCATTTTACAGATCAAGCTTATTTATAAGCAGACTGTTGGTTCATTGACTCTCAGACAAATGTATTATGGTTTGGACAAAGAAAACACACCCACTTAGTCAATTTTAGGGGGCAGTGGGTGTTTTTTTTTTTCCGCCTCACACTGGGGCCCCATAACCCACATAGGGAACTAACTCCATTACAAAACAAAGTGTGTATAAATGGGCTCTTTTTTTTGGGACCAGTATTGCATCAGGAATATGATGCTAGGCTGATATCCTGATAGATCTATAGGCATTCAGTGGGTGACACAGTCAACATGGTTCAACTACATTTACCTTTCAGGACATTGCCTGATACCCATTTTAGGCTGGATTTACCTGCAGGCTGTCATCTTTTTTTTCTTCATTCAAACCCCAAGAACTTCATGCCAGTATATGAGTGTCTAGCTGCTGTATTGCTGCAGCTTCCTAGTAAATGAAAAACCTATAATTGTATGGTGTTATTTATGTTGAATAACCTCTGCTTGTTTTAAGACTTATTTATTTTCTCCGTCTTCAGCCTTCACAACTGTCATGGTCCCAAGCTGCATCAGATGATGTTTTCAAGTCCCCACAGTGGAAGGCGTTAATGTCAGACTTAGGACAAGATTCTGAATCACTGATTGCTAAGTTTTCTATCAAATCTGCATTATTGAAGGTAATTCTGTCAATTTATTGAGTAGGCTGATATATTGGCCGCTGCTGTGCCTCTGGGCAGTGAGCTGTTTTATGAAAAAGCGGACTAGTGACAGCTCTCGGTGATCAAATGGACAGTGCAGTGAAACAGACAGAGAATCCACACACTGAAAGACTCATTCAGTGGGGGATGATTAGAAGTTCTGGAAGATGTTCAACATTGAGGAGGAAACAGGAGGCATTTTAATTAGATTGTAACTGGTACAGTTAGCATGCCAACTTTTCTTTGGCTACTGAGGACAGAGAGGGGGGGGGGGGGGGTGTGGTTGGAATATTCTGAGTGCATTAGTGTCTGTTCTTGATTCATTCTTTCATTCTGTGAATTATTTTCTTCAGCTAGAGAGAAGTTCTGACTCACACATGGTTGGTTGGCTTTTGTTGCTTACATCTAGATCTTAAGCTGACTAACATTTACATAGGAAACTTGCGAGAACTGGCACCTGGAGTGTTAGAACTCTGTATGAAAAAGAAAGTCTATTCTGTGGAATCCATAGGACCATATATAAAAAAAGGGAGATCAAAAACATAAAAACACACACTCAGAAGGAAATTAGAAGCGAAAGGGCACAAGAAGAAAGTGGGAACTTTGGGAAATAGAAATTATGGTGGTATTGTGGTTTAGTCAGACTGACATAATATGTACTGGTATCTTAAATGAGTTGGATGGGCTGGGAAAGTTTGATGCAGCTAATTTCTTAAATGAGTATGAAAGACTGGAAATCTGGGATGACTGACTCAACTTTGTTAAATAATTTGGACACAAACGGTTCATTGCACAATTTATTGCTTGGCATATTTCACTGTATCTTATCAGTTGCATTACTACAGAGATACATCAATATATAATGAAACACAAAAGATGAATCCTTTTAACTGAAATACACAAATTACATTGTCTGGGGTTACACCTTATTTTAGGCAACATGAGATGGCCAATTTTAATCTCAACAGCTTTCGTCAGTTTCAGTAATATTGTATTCACTGTGTAGTAAATAATTAGGAAGGAATAATCCCTATAAATTACATGCCCAGAGTCTAGTAGATGATGTGCTTTGTCTTCATTATTTACATTCACAAAGGAAAAACATTGTTTTGAACAACTGTCTTTCATAACATTGAAGGGCTATTCTAATTTGGGACAACTTGACTAGCTGGTATCTTAAATGGTTTGAAAAGGCTATGCAGATTGGTTGCCATAGACCATAAAAACATCCATTGCAAAAGACAGCCTACTGATTTGGTTGTTGGCCAATGCTCCATTGATTGATAAAGAGGAGAAGAGGTATACCCATGTTAGACTGACCTTATCTCATTCTTGCTCTGCCTTTAGCCAAAGCTTCTATGGTTGTTATTTACAAAATGGTAATTGACTCAGTATCAGTTGCACACTGTCTTTGAACCATCTCTATTGGTTTTATTTGTAATATAAAATGTTTGCAACATTTATATTCCTAGGCCAGTAGAAAACTGCTGCACAGAGGCAAAATACCATTGATCATTGGAGTGATAGACGCTATGGAAATGCAAGGGTCTGATGCCAGTATTATAATTCGAGACCCCTCAGGTAGCTACATATTTTAACATATATAAATTGACACATTGCATGTTTAGTGCAGTGGGACTAAACATCCAAATACCAGCATTGACGGAATGGAAAACACACAGTTGGGAGATCTTGATTTTGCTGATGATTTAGTTCTGCTAAGTAAAAAATATCAATGACAGTCAAAGGTGAACAGATGATCTAGCAAATATAACATCAAGGGTTGGACTACAAAAAAGTTATGATGGAAGACAAATATATTGAAGACATCAACAACATATCAAGCAGATGTAACACTAGAGACAAAGATAATCAACATTAACAGATCAGTTTACTTAAGGTAGTAATTTTGATAGCAAAAGAAATAATAAAAAAAAAGAAATTGTAACACACACTGGCAAGGCATCAGTAGCTTTTATTAGCTTGAACAAAAATATGGAACTCTGAATTGTATAGTTTTAAAACCAAGTTTTCAATTCTAATGTTATTTCAATTTTAACATATGTAAGTGAAAGTTTGAGAACTATTAAAGACATGGAACAAAAGTTAAGTGCATTCAAAAACAGATTCTGAGAAAAATAATGAAAATAAAATGGATTGTTTCAAAAGGAGTGAAGAAATAAGAAGAATGTCTGGGCAACGACTAGTATCAACAGTTATAAGACAGAGAAGATGGCGCTATGCTAGACACACCCTGAGAAGAAACCAGCAGAGTCACCAAACATTAAAATGGAAATAAAGCGATTAAGAAGGTGAAAACGCGCAAAAGAAGCCTTAAGGTGAACACTGATGAAAGAGGCCAAAGCAGCTGGGCTGAGATTCCATCCAAGATATTGAACTGATCACACATTATAGACTTGAATGGAGCGATATCCTGCGGGCCCTATGTGACATATAATGGCACAGCTGGATAATGAATGAATGAAAAGTGGCAAAAAAAGAGCCATGAAAATGCACTTAGATGAAAACAGCCACAAATGCACTTATGTGACTTTGGCTTAATTTAGGTGTTGTTAGCTTACTTTCGGCAATATACATTTTGCATTAAATAGTATTTTCTTCTATCTTATTAACTTGAAATTTGATTTATTAATAGTATTTGTATGTTTGGTTACTAAATAAAAAGGAACCTACATAAATGTGTAGAGAATTGTACAAACTAAAGTGAGATTCTTCTTACTTCTGCAATCGCTCTTGAAAGGCAGTTGACACATTGTATTGTGATTTAAAGCATTACTGTGGTTTCCACGCCTTTCTTCCCAACACATCCAATTTTAACAAATCCTTAATCAGTTTCCTTTTATGATATGCTTACTAATTAGCTGTATGCCCCTCCCCCTCCTACCCCAATAGGGCACATGAACTGACATGAGTTTCTTCAATATAATCTTGACAGCACCAAATAGCAGCCTAAACCATTCTGATCTTTCATTTTTAATAATTACTTTAAATCTGCTACCATGACCAGACTGGGGGAAAAAAACTCAAAAGGGGTGAGATCAGACAAGGGATACTATGCATGAAGCTAAAGAAGAACAATACATAGAACTGATATCACAGCCACCATACATCAGGAAGTGTACTAACAGTGAGATGTGAGCACTTGTGGACAATGTTTTGATGTTCAGTGACGATGATCTGTTGGCTAACTTGTTAAATCAATGCTTACCGTTTCCCTATAATCTGTAATTGAGTCAATCAGTCAGTTCCTGTCTCCATGGTTAAGATTGACTGCAATGTGCTCCAAGGATGCCGGAACACGGGCTTAGGCAACACCCTCTCCTCCCTTCTTGCGTTGCTCTTTAATCATGTGTAGAAGTTGTTTTTTGACATTTTTGTTTATACATTTCATATTATTTTACATATGTTGTATTCATTTGCCACTGAGCACATAATCATTATTATTGCACTCCTAAAAAAGCTTAGTAGTTTATGCTTCTTGAGCCCTCTGTCACTAGAAATGTTGCCTCCCCTAATGATCTGTGTCTTTCATTTTGGTTGTACATTCTCAGACTGCTGTTTATCTGTCTTTTGGTATTGTCTTCCCTCTTGTAGTGCTGTCTATCTCTTGTTATCTTGCTTCTGATATTTTCCTCTTTAGTGATGTTTAAGATATGGTTAATTCTTTGAATTTTGTCAACATTTTTCACTTGTCTCTGCTTTTTATTTTATTCCCAGTCTCTCTGGAACCAGTGTACTTGCTGGGTCCTGCTTCCATGAAATACAATATAATCTTCTCTATATTCACATCTCCATGCTCAATTCAATTTTTGTTGTTGCTTGTATTTTGTCCTGATTTCTGCACCCTTATGGCTTCAGATATAAATTTCACTTGGTTGTTCTAATTTTTAGATTATTGTTTATGCAAATTATTTTTGCATCTTGCTGGCGATATTTTTTGACCATTTCTACTTTCTTTTGTTGGATTATTGTTTTACTTCTCACATCATTTGTCGTTAAATGTCTGAGATAGGTGAAACTTGTTACTTTTTACATTTGTTTAAGTATACACAATACCTATTAACCTTTTTTTTTCACTAGGTTCTGTAACTCTTACCTGTAATTATAGTATTATAATTTCCTTGCTTCACTTTCCTTAGGTAAAATGAATGGGGCCTTGCATCGTGATCTGTTTAAAGACCAATCAACAACTCTACAAATAGGTTCTGTTCTTGTTCTTCGACAGGTATGTTTCATCATCACCATCATCCTCTGCCATGATTTACTCAGGTGATCGTGTTCCATCACATACATCTGTTGTCTGTGTTCTTGTTTAATTTCACATCTCATAGTTTATCCGGGCACTCTTTTCAGTTTATCCAGCATTGTCTCCCTCTTTATCATGATGACGATGATGATGGACATCATCATCATCATCATAATTGTAGTATTTCCCATCTGACAGAGATTTTTTGGGAAAGGTGGAGACAGGCATGCTCGATTCAGAATGGCAAGCATCAGAGGTTACAGGTAGTTGGGGTGCTTTGCATATTTTCTCCAGTTCAGGCTGGTGTATTGGGAAATGAGCAGGCAGATAGACTGGTCGTTTCTGCACCACTTGGTGGTGAATTGATTTATGACAAGTTAGATGTTGTGAGGTCTTTTTGGTCAACAGTTCAGAGGCACAAAAAGATCATTACATTCTGAAGAGAATGGCGCTGCAGGGAGTTAGCAGGGAATCTGGCTGACGCTCAGCACTCAAGGGAAAGGCCAGATGGATGAACAGTCAGACAGTTACTAGTACCATCTGAATTGGAACATTTTGCTTGTTACTGAAGATGGAGATCAGGTGCTTGTGCAAGTGTCCAGAGTGATGTGACGTCAATTCTCAATTCAGCATTCAACATCCTCATTGTCTTACCACCTAATATAGGTGGTCATTCTTTTCCACTTCTTGCAGTGTCCAGCAGCATGTATTGGTTCATGTGCAAACACCCTTTCATGTTGTGTCAAGAGACTGCCAAGAACCTTATCTGACTATATTGCTTTTTTTTCCCCCTCCATAAATCTTTGCAGTTGTCACATGTTCCAGATATCTCTTCTTATTAAATGGCCAAAAGAAAAACACACAAAACAAACATTACGTTTGCATCTTTATGGATTTGTTTCACAACTGACTTGGCTCGCAGGCCAACTCAGCCTAAAAGAGGTAACAGCTAATGTCCTGTGGATGTAAAGGCAACTGGCGTGACATTGGCCATATCACCCACAAAGCACTGATTGGTCTATCAAAAATTTGAGACATCATATGCCCGATGCACCACTGACATAAGAAGGATCCTTTACTTACTTTCTGAGGTTTGTAATTTTGGATAGTAAACAGGCAGAAAAATTCCTTGAGATCTTGGAAATGGGATTTTACAAACAGTGCCAAAATGAATTTTGTTGCATGAACAAAACTCGATACTCGTGTATATATGTTATGCAGATGACACAGTATTGGTAGCTGAAAATGCACATGATCTACAAATTACTGGACATTGTAGTGAGGGAGAAAAAAAAGGGTCTGTGCTTGAATATAAAGAAAACAGGTAATGGTTATATCAAAGAAAAGAATGCCACCACAGTGTGATATTAGAATATAAAATAAAAAAGTTAATCCAGGTTGATAAATTTAAATATCTGGGTACAGCCATAACATCAGACGGAAAATGTGTGTCACAGATTAAGAACAGAATAGGCCAGGCTAAGGCTTCATTTTACAGAATGAAGAACATCTTGTGTAACAGGTCCCTCTCTCTTTCTACGTCCAAAAGAGAGTACTAAAATGTAGAACCTTTACTGGTGTATGGCAAGGAATCATGGAATGTGAATGCACAAATTAGACAGAATTTTAAGGCGACAGAGATATGGTTCCTCAAATGAATGTTTTGAATCCCTTGGACTGCCAGACTAATTAACAAGGATTGCTTGAAAGAAGTTAATGAAAGCAGATCAATATATACAGCTACAAGGAAAAGACAAGCACTGTTCTTTGTTCATGGGGTAGGGGGGGGAGGCTTTTGAGAATATTGCGACGACTGGGAAGATCAACGGTAGAAGAGGGAGAGGCTGAAAGGAGAGAGATGAGGGATGGAATGCGGCTGTGGCACCGAGGGATATCATATGTGGAACTGATCCAGAGGACAATAGATCTTTGGAGATGCATAAAAGCTATGCCAGTTGGCAGGGCACATGATGATGCCATAATGAGTAGTCTAAATATTTTAAAAAAAAAGGGCTAACATAATGTAGTGTAAATGTATGAAAAAGCCAATCATCATTTTCTGCCACATTGTAATAAAAAAAAATGAACATTTGACAACTGAAAATGTTTTATGAAAAGAGAGATAAAGACAGTAATAAAAAAAAATGTTTCTTGACAGCATTTTATCATAGCATAGAAGTTTTTTAGCGCATGAATTGATACATGCCATTGCTGGCTAGATATGGAGAAGTGTAATCCGCTAAGCCAGTTGGTAAGATATTTAATCATTTTGATAATTGACAGGCTCCACAACAATGTCTAGCAGAAACTAATCTACATAGAATAAGTGAACATTCTACTTCTTGTGCTAGTTGCATAAACCTTGCTGCCCCAAGAAGACTGAATCTCCTCCACCAAACAGCACAGTTTTATTTCATTGGTCCTATGTATGTCTGCAAATATGTACAAAATGAATATAGTAACGAAAAATATCATTGGGAGGGGGGGGGGTGGTGTTCTTATGACCCCATTTTTTTTAAAGCCAAGTTGATGTCATATTTTTCTGTAAGCCTCAATGATAAAGGTCAAGGGATCACCAAATATATATATATATGTGTGTGTATATATAAAGAGATGTAGATTACATTCTTACTTTTGCTTTATGTCTGCCCCTAAATCCTTCAACATCATCCATCAAGTAAGGACTATCTACTAAAATGTAGTTCAAGCAACATATGCTTGATGCACCAGTGGCTTGTGGAGGATCCCGTACTTGTTTAATCTTTGTGTATTTTTTGCTTTCAGGTGAGTGTCATTAGTCCATCACCTCGCACGCACTACTTAAACATCACACCTGGAAATGTGGCCTTGACTTACTCAGCTAACAAAGAGGCCGCAGTTTCCAAGCAATTTACAAGTGGCTTTGAAATCAAACCCAGTATTTCTGAGACACAGTTTCTTTCTCAGATTATTAAAACTTCAGAACAAGAGCTGTCTGATGCTGCGAAAAATTGCCACCAAGGAAGTCGAACTCATGCTTTAGAAAATTTGAGCAATGGATTCAACATAAAATACTTGTCTCCGGTAATGCCCCGAGATCCTTTGTTGTTAAAAAGAAATCAGATGAATGTCACACCTGCAGGCCGTAGCAGTTCTTTATTTAACTGTAGTCCACAGTCGCTGACAACTGTAACATGTGGAAGAGTTGTAACACCACCAAATTCTGTAAAAATGACAGAGACAGGGAGTGTAAACTATCGGAATCAAACAGTGTCATATCCTACACACATTTTCAGAAATAGGTTTCCTCTACAAAATGGCACACCTATGCAAAATCATTGTATTTCTCATGCAGACAGAATTTCACCTCCAGCTTTACAACACCGCAAGTCAGAATTTATCAATCCAAACATTGCATCATCAGCATGTGGGCTTCCAGGGAAGTTTGTTGGCAGATCTCAGTTTTCATCCTGTCAAAATCTCAGCAAAGATACAAGTCATGATACAGCCTCTCATATTATAAGTGGGAGCAATGAAATGCCCATGAGGATGATGAGATGTTGACTTTCATTCAGTGATGATGTGTTGAATGAAAACTTGGATGGGGATAACAGCAGTAACAAGGTGCACACTGGTCTGAACACCCATGAGGAATTTGGAAGAAAACTCAGGAATGATAAATAATTCCAAATGTGGAAATGTAATTAGTGAGGTGTTCAGTGACTGTAGAAAAGAAAATGAGAGACTAAATAATAATTTTAAGAAAGAAAATCTTAATAAAAGAAGCTCGTTGCCATCAAATCTAGATGATCAGTCTACAGGATCGGGTTCAAATTCGGATAAAATTATCACTCGTGATAGTGGGAAAAATTCTCCAGCTTTGCTTCAGACAGATATGGCTGTGAAAAAATTTTCTTTTAAGCGCAGTCTTCCTGCATCTGATGTTCTGCACTTGGCTGTGCCGGTAAAGAAATCATCTTGTGATATAGTTCATCCAACTATTGATACTGCTAAAAGAAAAACATACATTCATTCTGGCAGTTTGTCTGTGGCAAACTCTAGTATCGAGAATTCTGATAGGATTCAGGTAGGCATAGGGCCTCTTATGACAATGGCTGAACATTCTGCAGTTACCTCTGCAGTGACCAGGGTTGGCCACTGTGTACCCAGTGTTCATCTTGCTGGACCAAGGGTTCAACAAACAGCACCTTGTTCAGTTTTCAGTAACACTAGTGTTAACTTGAAGCAAGCTGTTTGCAGTGATGGTCTGGCTGAATCTAGCTGTGGTTCCAAAAGGGACTCAGGAGTAGCTGGCCATTCAAGCATGTTTCAAGTCTGGGATTCAGGTAGGTAACATACAGATATAGGTATTTCCTAGGGATATATTGCTGTTAGGGTTCAAAAGTATAGGGCTTTCACAGTATTCTAATCCGTGATGTGAGATGGGTGATTAATTCTTTTCCTTATTGGTTTTCTTTTTAGACAAATCCTTTAAAATTTGAAGGTACACTTTTAGCAATTTTATAACAGAAGTTGATGCGCAATTCTTCTTCTTCTTTCGTTCGCATGGAATAGATTATCTATATATGCAATATTATCTCTGGTCTGAACTTTACTGTCTCTTGTAATTCATTCAGCGACCCATGAAGTTTATCTTGCACCGGTTTTTACTCTTGGCTAAAAGATTTGGGACAGTCTTGAACAATGATGCAAAGTCTGTTTCATGACTGCCACTACGTCTTTTGAACATTATTATATCAAGACAATATCACAACATTATGTCTTCATAAGGGTTATCTTTAAACAGTGTCTCAGCTTGGCATATTGCTCATCGTCACTTGGTGGTAAAATGATGCATGACAAGCTAATTATTGTGAACGCCCTTTGGGAGAGCGTAAACAATGAAGGCACGAATAGATTATGGTCTGAAAAGAGAAATGTGAGTGGGAAGTGACCAGGGTATCTAACAGGCACTCATTACTCAGGGGAAAAGCAAAATGGACATATCATCACTCTTGATGGTAACATCAGAATTTGAACTCAGTGCTGGCTGCTGAAGATGGGAAGCATATCAACTGAACTAATATTTTGATAAAACAATGCTAGGCCAGTATTTTCTAGGACTGAACTGCATAAAAAAATAGTCATGTGGACTTGGACTTCCAGTAATTGCCCCTGGTCTCTGGGTAGTCAGATTGGACGCCCATGTGCATTGTTCAGCACGTAAAAAATCTCTTAACAGTTGGAAATCTAAAATGTAGCCTAACGGCGCTGCCCGGGGAAAATTTGGAGTTAAAAATCTACCTAAAGTATTTCAGGTTCCTCGCCGGTGCTAGAGGGCTTGTGCACTGTGCTGAGCTTCTTCAGACTCAGACTCAAGTTAGAAGAAGAACGGAGCACTTATGGGTTACTACTCATGTGCCATGATGTTGATCCAATGTTCAAACCTCATGATTAACTGAGTTCATTTCTTTCTGGGTTTAGCACTAATTAAGTCTCGGAGAGGTGTGTTGCTGTCCACATCACCCATCTTGTGCCAATTGGTCTATAAAATATAGGTCTAGCCCTATATGCCCTAGACGCTGAAAGGCATGGAAGAGTATCCCTACTTGTTTACTTTTTTAAGTCTCTGAGAAACAGCAACTGCCAAAAGAAATTATAACAAATCACTCAAGATATGATTTACTAGTGCAGTCAGTCTTGTTAAATGTGGACGAACACATGACAATGATATATTAGTGATGTCAGATGAATGAGTAGTTTCTCTATCGCTCTCATTTGACTAATGGATCACTCAGTAATTATATTAGCAACACATTAACAAGTCTTCTGCTGGCACAAAGTCCGAACAGTTCCCAGTCAACCACTAGAAGACTATAACCAAGGTTCGCACCTGAAACACAAGTATGATTTAAGTAATGCTCTGCTAGCACACAACACCGTCACAGAGTACGAACACTTCTCCCCAGTCTCCACAACTGGACAGAACAAATACACCCTTGAACTTTATGTCATGATGGCTGCTATGAGCACCTCCCACCCGAGGCGCAGAATCCATCATTCACTGACAGCCATCACTGTCCTCGGTTGACTCTATCCAAGAGACCCTGCCATTTAAGGACCTAAGACAAATAGGTGAATAAATCTAGAACATCGTCTGATACATTGTCACACTTGGAAGTATCCCATTACATCCCTATAACCACCACACACTGGTTTCAACACACAGTTACCGCAAGTCAGCCAGCATGACACACAGATGCACCACACACGGGCCCAGTTAGCAGACATTCTCATAGCCCAATTAGCAGACATTCTCATAGCCCAGTTAGCACACATTCTCATAGCCCAGTTAGCACACATTCTCATAGCCCAGTTAGCACACATTCTCATAGCACAGTTAGCACACATTCTCATAGCCTGGTTAGCACACAACAGTTTGATTGGCTAAGAAAGTTGCAGAAGACAGATTTTGAACCCATTTACTGCCAAGCAAACTATGCTGTATTTGTTGCATTTGTGTGCTTACATCTTAACCATTATTGTAATAATTGTTTTTGACTTTGAAAACTTTTCTTTTAAAAACAAGTGGCAAAAAAAGTCACTTATTACTTGCACTTTTCATACCCATAAAGTGACCTACTGGCTTTGAGTTCTTGGATTTGAATCCACACACTGTAGCTCTCAAGTTCAACCAAGCCTACAGTGCATATAAAATAAAATTGTCACTGGAAGCAAAATCAACCCAAGTGATGTTGACAGCCTAATTCAGTGATTGCCTGTTTGTCTATACAATTGCATAAAAAGGGTCTTTTAATTGTTACTGTGATTACCTTTACACCAAGAGTTGTGCTTTAAAACTCACAATGTAAAGGAACATAACCATTTTGCCCCCGAGAATACTCAAAAAGGGGTCATGAACCCGTAAGCTTTTCCTGGAAAAAATCCTCAAAAAAAAACACAAGTATTTTGCACAGGTAACTAATAAATAAGTCTGTAGCTTAGGCTTTGCGAACGCGCGCCTAATGCAGTGCTGCGTTTGAGCCCAGCTGCGGACAGTTTGTTTTGCATTGGTTTCTACTTGAATGGATCCGAAAGCTGACCGTTCAGAAGGCAGTGACAAACTACTGAATGGAAAGTAGCCTAAAGAAATCGCAACAGCCAAAGAATGCTGGGGTTGGTTCTGCAATGTCCTGTAAAGGATACACAGCTCTTAACTAAAAAATTGTGAACTCATTTAATTATCTACATAAAAACAGTTATTTTTGAAATACATAGAGTAATAAACAAAACAAAAGAACAGAGTTGAAAATATGAATGCATTCCCTGGGACACAAAACAAATGTGTTTTATGTGGGCTTGTGTTGTGACGCTTGCTTTACAAAATCCTTTGGATTCCTAAGGAAGCTCCTTTAAATGCGAGACTCAGTTAATGTGTTCACATCTGTACCTCCTAAGTATGGTACACATTGAACCATAGGCATTTAACACTGCTTTTTGAGACCAGGTCCCTGCAGAAATGGTGATAAATTGGCATTTGTGTGTGTGTTACACCGGAAGTAACTAGCTTTAGCATTGTCTGAGCAGTAAGGTTAACAAAAATGAAACAATGATTGACAGAATGTTTCAAACTGATAATTTAGATGGCCATGGAATCAGTTGACATGCATTCTTTTCACTATCTAATGAACATCTGGCATGTTGCTTGGTACATAGAAATTTATGACTGAAATATATTGTTTCATGTTTTCACAGATTTAAGTGACGAAATGCTGCTGTCTCAGTTGTCTGATGAGTTTTGATTTACAAGCCTGTGAAGGAGCCCATACCATTTTTTATGTGAAGCCTTATTTACCATTGTCTGATCCAACCAGTTGTTTGTAATGCTCATTGCCATGTCATGCACTTTCATGGAATTGTCTTGTTATTGAATATGTCGGTGTCTGGTGGTATGTAATTCGGAAATACCTGGTTTATATTCCAGCTATGGCTGATTAGACAGAAGATCACTTTGGATGATTTATATGATGTTAACAAGAGGCCAACCTTTCAGAAAGCACTGGCAAACTACTGTATATAAAAGTGCCTAATAAAATCACAAACAGTGAAACAAAATGCAGGGGATGGTCTTGCAAGATACTGTAAAGGATAAGGAATCAGCTTTTTTATTGTGTGAGAAACCTGTCCACTGGGACTTTCTTGAGTGAGGAACCACACAGTTGGAACTATTTCAATTTAGAAACTATGTTTGCAGCTATTGTGAGTGAGAAAACCTTACACCTGAAACTTTTTTGAATGGAAAAACCCTGATAACATGTCGAGAATTGCATATCACAATAGCCCTCGTCTCAGATGATCCAAAATGTTGGACTTTGTAGGCTGCTGCATACACAAATAGGTAAAAGTATAGTCTGGAAGATAATTCTGTAGGGAAAGTTATGTTATAGCATCTGACAACACTGCACATTGGGTGTTTGCCAGCATGCAAGGCAAGAACTTGCAGATCAGTAAATGGATTTACAATCAAGTATTTAAGCTCCATGAGGCGTCCGTGGCTTATGCGAGTCCGACTCGTAATTCCAGCTTACCGTGATCGAAACCCACTGCTGGCGACCTAGCCTAAAATGGGTACCAGGATGGCTCTCCTGGGGAAGTAAAGATGGCCGGCGTAATGCTGACCACATTATCCACCTAGTGCCGATGGTCTGAAAAAATATGCGCGCTCTTCCCATTTGTCCGGTGCGCCTAAAAGGCATGACAAGGGATCTTTACTTACTTTTTACTTAGAATAGCTCCACTTCCATTCTTAAACACCTAGTTTGAGAGTGGAAGTGGTCAAATTGGCTTTTCGCTGGCTTGAAAACCAGCTGCATACACATGGCTTGATTGTAACTGACTCATAAGGCATTTTGAGAAGGTGGAGACAGGAGGGCTTTATGCAGCATGGTAGGTTTCATGCAGTGTGGTAGGCATCGCTTCAGAGGTCCTGGGTAGTTAAATGTTCTTTGGATATTATCTCTGGGCCATGCGGGAGTGTTGGAAAATGAACATGCAGACAGATTGGCTGGTTCTTTACCAATGAGTGGTGAATTTATGTATATTAAGCAAAATGTGGTTAATGTCCCTTGTGAGCAAGTGAACGGCACAGATGGCTCATTATGGTCTGGAGAGAATAGCACAGCTAGTAGTAACCAGAGGATCTGGTCAGCACTCTACACTCAGAGGAAAGGCAAGTCGAACATATACTCAAACTGTTACTGGCATCATCGGAATCGGAACTCTTCACTGCCTGCAGAAGATGAGGACGGAGTGCTTATGGGAATGCCCTGAATGTCGTGATGTTAGTTCTTAGTTCAACACTCAGCAGTAGAATTAATACATACATGTTCCAGGCAACCAGGGATCGTGATATGTGGAGACGCATGAGGGCCTACGCCAGTTGGCAGGGCACATGATGATGTGTGCATGCAGACAAATAGCCAGACATAAAGAACACCTTAGAGAAAAGTAAATAATTGCAGTATAGCACAACCACTTACAGTTTCTTTTCCTTTCCCCTTTGTTCATATTTTTTTGTGCTTGTTTGTTAAAATAAGTGATTTTCTGTTCTGGACCTCTGGTTTATTATGTTATTAATTTTAGTTAATGCAGCGCTTATTTCTTTTCTTTCTTTTGTTGTTGTTGAATATATTGTGGAAGCAGTAGGATCACTTAATACCATCAGGAACAAGAAGTATAACTATTTATGTCATTGACAGTGCTTAAAGTTAAACTTTATTTCACCAATGCCAAGACACAAGAAGTGTAACTATTCTTAACAATGACAAGACACTAGAATTGTTATTTGAATGCTGCCAGTGACGCCTAATGGCAGAAATGGAGACTGACAATGACTGACTAAACACTAGAAGTGTAACTTCATTGTTAACAACCACAAAACACTAACAGCGAACTTCATTGCCACCATTGACTAAATACTTCTAGTAAAACTTGAATGCCAGTAAGGCAAACCACTGGAAGTCTAGGTTCATTGTTAAAACTCCACGATTCTAGAACTTACGTTGATTTCTACTAGGGCTGTACCGAATAGTGATTTTCACTATTCGGCAGAATACAAATAGCTGGACCAACTATTCGGCCGAATACGAATACGAATAGTGAATCATCATCATCTGGTGCTTTGCCGACTAGCATGGGCGAGTATGCCTTGCCACAATCTGCTATCTCTTGCAGCATGTATCAGCTGGTGTGTTGACACACCTCCATGCCATGCAACAAGACTGTCAAGAATCTTCTCTTGTTGTCTTCCTCTATCCCTCCTTCTACAGATCTTTCCAGTGGTCACCACATGTTCCATTTTCACTCATCCTATAACATGGCCGAAAAATGATGACTGTCTCCTTCTGATGTCTGTGAGTAGTTGTCTTCGGGCTCCCGCCTCTTTTAAAACCTATTGGTTCCTTTTTTCTGGCTGTCCAAGGTATTTTAAGCATTGTTCTGTAAAACCATATCTATGAGGCCTCAAGAAATTGTTTGGCCTGCCTACCGATTGTCAAGGACTCACAGCCATATTTTAAAACTGGATGTATGTAGCAAGCAAGAAAGCATTAGCTTTAAAAAAAAAAACACAATCGTTCCATGTTGTCAGCATTAAGGCAGCTTCTTGTCTCACTGAAGGTATTACCAGCTGTGCTAAACAGACGTTCACTTGGTACGCTCGTAGGTGGTGCACAAAGTAACGCATGATAGTATGAACAAAGGTGGAAAATCTTGATTCATTTTCCACCAGTCCAGAAACGGGTGTAAGGTAACCACTATTCGTATTCGGCCCAACCGCAACTATTTGGCCGAATACCGAATAGTTATCAGGTCCACTATTCGGCCCTGAAGCGAATACGAAGCGAATATTCGGTACAGCCCTTTTCTACCAAGGATAACTGACTTGAAGTGTTGATTGCTATTAAGGACAAAACACTTACTTAATGTTAAAGTAATGTATGCTTACTTAAATAATATATTACTTAATTGCTACCATTGAAAAATGGACAGAAATGTATCTATCTGTGAACACTGATACTTAGTATATAAACCAGAAAAACTAAAAAGTGACCTTGAAATACAGAGCATTAAAAAGGGAGGTAATCAACACATGGGGGAGAATTTCTTTAGAATGTTTTATGGTCCTTTCTATTTTTCAGATCAGGGCTGGATCACCGGTCTTCAGTTCAACGGGGAAACATTTTTTAGTTTTTGGGGCATATGTTGTAACTAGTAGTAAGCACAAATACATTCCGCCATGATATAGTGAGAAAATGATCATTTATATAAGTAAAGATGATAATTTCCTGAGGATTTTTGGTTCATATCCTCATGGAGTTAGGGATTTTAATTAATTGACTTGAGCTCCCAGTTAAATCTGACCTGTAGTTGACACTAGAAAATGTTATAGGAAGTAAAGGCGGCCAACATGATGTTGAACATGTCACTTAGTATGTGCACATTGCCCTAGCACATATGCTTAGTACTCCAGTGGTGAGAAAGACTGTGTTTACTTGTACTTCCTGTGTCAAGATGATGATGATGATAAATTTGTCATGCACTTCACTCACAGGACAGCAGGGCACATCAAGGTAAATGGTAGTTCGGGCCCAGGTGTACAAATGATAACCATTTTAAAGATGATTTGTGGTATCCAGGAAGTATTTCTGTTGGATGAATACATCTCAAATTATGCTGTGTGTGCTGTACAAGGACCATGTGGAGATGGTTGTGACAAGGTGCCAAAAAGGACTCAATGCACTTAAGACTATGCCTGCAATGGACATAAAGCAGAGAATGCCTTTTACGATACAGCAGCACCTGATCTTTTCAGTGATTGATTATGGACTAGAACTGCTTACTGTATTTTTTTTTTTTTTAGGTTCTTACATGGTGACAGGGTTAACGAGGTTTTCCCCCTTTCTGCGTCTACTACAGATTTTCCCGGTTATGACAATGCTCTGCTATGAATCTTGATGATAGAACAGTAACTCTTTCAGTCCTAGTTTGTAATTTTTTTAGCTTTCTATCACAGTTTTATTTTAACTAATTCCTTACATAGACAGATCCAGATCAAGTAAAATTCATTGCGAGTTAGTGTATCATCTCAGTTTTAAAACCTGTTTGGAATGGATTTTTGCAACTAATTTTATGATGATGACCCAGGAATTGCTTTGAACTGTGTACTGTTCAACCTTAGTTAGTTAGTTAGTCGGCAGATTATCCTCATTGCACGTCGAACCACTGAGTCCATAAGTGCTCGGATCCCCTCTCAGTAAATCCCGCAGCGTGTAGCTGCTAACAACACCAGTTCTGTGTTGATTTATTTTTCTTCTTTGGCTACCCGCGTAGTGTTCTTGTTTGGTGATACCCCGTTTAACATGTTGTTCTTGCAGTCTGACCATAGTTGTAGATTCACAGTTCTCAGTTGGTTCATGCAAACGTCTTAACTCTCTTTGAGCATTCAGTCAATCAGCTTGCTCATTTCCTTGTACCCCAACATGTCCTGGCACAAAAATGAAACTAATCCTTATCAGCCATGAATTCTGTAGAGCCACCAACCACTGCCTTCAGACCCAGCCCTTCTCTATCTTCCTATGCATGCTCATTAAGTCACTGAGAAAGCATGCCTCAGTGAAAGTCAGTGTCTCTAGCCATGTTACTGCTTTAGTCACAGCCATGACCTCCATAGTCAGACTACTTGTAGTTACGGCAAAAGCTTCAGAATCTTTCTTTACAACTCTCCCTACAACCTAAGCTGTGA